GCTCCCTCTCGTCCTGGACGAACGACGTTAACTCAACGCCAAATCCCAACAACCCCTCCATCTCGAACATCGATCCATTTTCGAACCGAGCCACCACCGACCGCGCTCAGACGACAGGACACCTGGATAGACACGCAGCATACGGCGCATCGCCATGGAGGACCAGCCTCTGCAGCAGCTAAACTGGACAGTCTCTCTCCGCGCCGCGCGTCCCTCCCGCGTCGCGACCAAGGGCCTGGAAGGCGACAAGATCCTTCTCCCCCAATCCGCCCTCGAACAGCTCCTCGCCGCCTCCACCACGCGCCCTGCGACAACCTCGCACACATTCACCGCATTTGATCGATTCAATCCCTACTCCCTCAATCATGCGCGAAACGACACCGCCCAGTTCAATGACACCCACCAGCAACTACCGCACCCATTGATGTTCCAGCTTGTCAACAGGAAGAATGGGAACACAGTATATGCTGGGATCCGCGAGTTCTCGGCCGACGAGGGCGAGGTAGCCCTGAGCCCCTACCTGCTCGACGCGCTCGGTATAAAAGAGGGGGAAATACAGGACAAGCCGGCTGTCGAGGATGGAGTCATGGATCTTACCGAAGAGGACAGTCCGGAAACGGGAACAGAGGGGGCAATCATGATCACTGTCAAGGCAAAGCAATTACACAAGGGTGCATATGTCAGACTGCGCCCACTAGAAGCTGGCTACAACCCCGACGACTGGAAATCCCTGCTCGAACGGCAACTCCGGGCCAGCTTCACAACACTTACACTGGGGTCGATCCTCACCGTCAAGGGCGTCAAAGGTGAAGAGTTTCGCTTCTTGATCGACAAGTTCGGGCCAGAGGGGGGCGGCATATGCGTCGTCGACACCGACTTGGAAGTCGACATTGAGGCCCTCAACGAGGAGCAAGCCCGGGAGACGCTCCGCCAGATCGCCGCAAAATCACAACGGGCACCCGGGACAGAAGCTGGGAGCACGGTGGGCCACACCATCGATATCTGGAAGGACGTTTCCGGCCAAGTGCTGGCCGGAGACTATGTCGACTACGAGCTGCCCGCATGGGACCGGTCCCGCCCGATTGCTATTGAACTCGCCGTTCCCGAGGGCCAAGAGGTCGATATCTTCGTAAGCCCCAGGTCAAACCGACAGAGAGCCTCTCCGCGAGAATCCGAGTACATCTTTGCCGACTTTTCATCGCCGAGCGACGGGATCAGACGCATCGTCATCCAGCCCACCAATGTTGAGCTCCAAGATGCCGAAGCCCTCCTCGTCTCCGTCCACGCCTTTGCCAATCCCAGTCGGACAAGTCCCGACTCCTCTCCCCGTCAATATACACTTCGAGCCAAGTCGGCCGACATTACCGGGTCGGACGCCGCTCCCGTATCAGTGCCTACATCGGCAGATGAAGAGCAATGCAAAAACTGCCTGCAGCTGATTCCCAAGCGGACCATGATGCTCCACGAAAACTTTTGCCTCCGGAACAACATCCTCTGTCCACACTGCAAGAACGTCTTCAAAAAGTCTTCGGAAGAATGGGCCGCCCACTGGCACTGCCCAACCCACCCCTCCGCCCACGGCTCCAACCACGCAACCAAGACAAAGCACGACTACTTCCAACACACACCGCACACCTGCCCCTCCTGCGGCCCTTCCAGCCCCTTCACCTTCCCCTCCCTCCCCGAACTTGCCCGCCACCGCACCACCGTCTGCCCCTCCAAGCTCATCCTCTGCCAATTCTGCCACCTCGAAGTTCCCCAAGAAGGCGACCCCCTCGACCCCTCCTCGGAGGCCGAGACCGTCCTCTCGGGCCTCACCGCCCACGAGCGCGCCGACGGCGCCCGCACCACGGACTGCCACATGTGCGGCGCCATCGTCCGCCTCCGCGACATGGCCGCACACTCGGCCAACCACGCGCTCGACAAGGTCTCGCGCGCGAAGCCGGCCGTCTGCCGGAACGAGCTGTGCGGCCGCACGCTACACGGTGTGGGACCGCGGGGGCAGGTCAACGGGGGCACGAGGATGGGGCAGGGCGCGGGGAATGAGCTGGGGTTGTGTAGCTTGTGCTTTTCGCCGCTGTACGTGAGTATGCACGACCCCGAGGGGAGGGCGTTGAGGCGGCGGATCGAGAGGAGGTATCTGACGCAGGTTATGGCGGGGTGCGGGAGGAAGTGGTGTTCGAACGAGTGGTGCAAGACGGGGAGGGGGAATCAGGGGATGGAGGCACTGGGGTCGAGCGCGGCAGCGGCGTTGCCGTTGGTGAAGCCGCTTTTAGAGGCTGTGCCGGATCATGGGGAGGCGATGCATTTTTGCGTGGACGAGAGCTCGCAGCGGAGGTTGAGTATGGCCAAGATGTTGGCGGCGGAGGGAGTGTGGGAGCTGGAGTGGTGCATTGCTGCTTTGGAGGCCGAGGGCGGTGATGTAGCCAAGGCGAGGGGGTGGTTGGCGGATTGGGCGCCTACCAAGGGGGGGAGATGAAGGGGTTACAACCACAGACCTGGAATAGAATAATACCACCCAAACCGAGGGCATTCATCACGGGGAACAAGTGCTTTTTACGAGCAAAAGAGTGTTGCCATTTTCGACTGTCGACCAACGACTACGGGTCTACTGTTCTCGCCTCACGGCATCCTGATGTCTTTCATGCACCCATCATCCATCCACCCATTGACAAGGCTCCATCCACTCCGCCTTGCCAGTCTCGAAGAGGTTGCTGAACTCAGTGCGACTATGGTGTCTCGGTCAGCATTCTGCCCTTCACAACGATGAATTCAAATGTGTCTGGGACGTACGCAGCAGGAGCAGCCACTGCAGCTCGTGCACGAGCACGTATTGCAAGAGCAGCTGGGAGTCATGGTGGTGGAGGTTGGGGGGTTGGTGGGTTGGAAAGGTAATTGATGGTGGTGCTGGTCTGGTGTCTGGTTGGAATCTGCTGAGCCTGGACCAAGAAAGAAACAGATGCTACTGAGGAGGGGGAGGCGTGTTCTTATACCCACCCGGCTCTTCATCCCCCAATGTCAACCCCTCGATCCCCCACGGAGTCGTCATCGTCACCGGTCAAGCCTTTTCCGTTGGCGTCCGGACGACCGGTCAAGCCCTTTCCGTTGGCATCCGGAAGACCGACCAATCCGGAGACCCAGCGCACCGGGCCCCAGGATCCCTGCCAATCCGGGCCCGGTCCGTATTCGTCCGGTGGGTGGCACGGCAGGCGTGACGGGTCTTGGCTCCGCCCCCGAGGGGATGCGGCCCGCGCCTCTGGGGTGGCACGGCGGGATGCCAAGTTGATGGGCGGACGGAATGGTGAGATTCCATTGGGCGGGGAGGTTTGTTGATTGGGGGGGTGCGTGGGATGCAAGTCTTGGAGTTTGCTGTCACTAGCCATCCTGTATGCCATAGCCGCGGCAGGTCTTGACAGAGTCGTCTAGCCTTGCCACGCAAAAAGTCTGGGTAGTTCTGTCGAGTATTATCTTTCGGAATTGGGAGGTTGACGCGAGTAAGTCATCGCCACCCCCGTCCTTGTAAGACGTCTGGTTCAACCACCCCCACCTCCCTCTCCATGCTGTACCATCCGACACATCAAGAACCACATCCCACGAAACCACACACCGACACCCCTGCTACGAAATCACCAACACGCCTCCCTACTGTACCACCTCGGACAAACCATGCATCCCCTCCTCCTCCTCCTCCTCCTCCTCGTCCTCCTCCTCCTAACCACCCACGCCCTTCCCCCCCGCACATCACCCAAGACACAGGCCAAGTCACCTTCAACGCCCCCCCCCCGCGCGCCTCCCACCAATTACACCACAACCACGAACAGAACCCTCCCCCTAACAGCCACCCTCTTCTACACCCCCCCTGGCCCCTCCCACTGCCGCGGCCGTCCCGTCCTGCGCCTCACCTTCCCACAAGCCTCAGACCCAGGCCCAGACCCAGACCCAGACCCAGACCCAGACCCAGACCCAGACCCAGACACAAACCTAGAGACATCAAAATGCTACAACATCCCCACGCCCGCCGCCGCCATGTGCGGGACGTTTATCGCCCCGTCGGGTGGGGGTGGTGGGGCCTGCGAGGCGATGTTGTTGGCGGAGGAGGGGTGTAGGATATATGTGAATACTGTGGTGTTTCGGCCGACGGGGGAGGCGAAGGCGGTCGGGGGGTGGTGAAGGAGTTTGAGGGTGCAGTGTGGAGTTGTGGTGCCGGAGCAAGGGGAGGGGGGAGGGGGGAGGGTTGGAGGGGCTGTTGGGGGCGGGGGTTGAAAAAGAGGCCCGGAGAGGGGAGGATGGGATGAGGAGAGGAGGGTAGCTTCGTGTTAGCAGGTCAAGGACCGTGATGGGTGTGTCGTTGCGGGTCAATGTGGTTGAGAGGGGTAGTGGTTTTATTGGAGAGAGTTAGGCTTTGGGGCGGGGCGTCTGGAGGCGTTGCTTAAAGGAGGGCGTTGCAGGTTGGGGCTTAGGTTGTGCTCGCTGAGTTGTGTTTTGGACTGGCATGGCAGTGTGGTTTCACGGCTGATGGCGAGAGGGTGTTGGAGAGGAATGGGATTTGGATGGTTGACGCGGCAGGGATGCAAGTGGTGGAATCAAGACAGCAGGGTTGCTTGAGAAAGTGCAATCTTATCTTTGGTTGATAGCATTGGTACCTAGGGAGGCACTGGGCGAGATTTTGAGCAGACATAAGGCAGCAAATCAGCTCCCTCTCTTCCCCTGGTCACTGTCAGTGTCTTTTGAGGGGGGGAGACTGCTCATGGGCTCCGTATTTCAAGTTGGCGTTGAAGATTGAACTTTCCATTCTCTGGGCTTTCCCTTGAACCATCGCAAAAAAGCCCACAAATCAGTCAATTCAGGTCCACTTCAACTCTAGCCCTCCTCATGCATGGTCCAGCAGACATGACGAAATCCACCTCCTTGAAAAAAGACCTTCTTCTCCCAACCCACACACACATCCACCCAGTCCCATCTTTACCCGAAAATCCCTACACCTCCTCCATCAACCAATAGGCAACTTGGCCGAGCGGTCTAAGGCGCCACGTTAAGGAGTACCCTTAATCACCTCTTGATCATCTCCTTGATGATCTTGAAATGTTCCGTGGTCCGAAAGGGCGTGAGTTCGAATCTCACAGTTGTCAGCTTCTATTTTTGCCCTTCTCTACCCCGCCTATCTCAAGTGGCATCATTGTCATTGTTTTCATTCGCTTCTTGTCTGTTCGTATCAAGCTGTCGCTGTTGGCAATCAAAGTGTCTTCAAAGGCTGAACTCACTTACATTCCCAAGCCCAAGCGACAAACTTGGTTGAATTACCTGCTTGCACACAGTCCTATTTCTCCCCTTTCAACTGTTCCCAAGCTTCATATGACCAGATTTTCATCTGGCTATCCATCCTTGGAACTTACCCTCTTTTAACCCGGTTCAGCTCCGCCTTGGTCCGCGGCTGGGGCGGTGCGGACCTGCAGCTTCCGCTTCCGCCCTCGTCAACGGAACTGCCAACCAGCCGCCCCCTCTCGCCTACCTGACATTGACACGGAACCGAATTTTGAAGCCAGCAATGCTCCCAGCCACATTTGACAGCGTCCCCTTTTCAGCCCTAGGCGGGCCCCGTTCCAATGGTTCCGACCCCGGATCGGTTGAAAATGGGCCTTGAAGGGCTTTGGCAGGTGCCGCAAAAGGCTGAATACGTCTAGGTTTTACTCAGCTGACTTCGAAAGGCAGGTTGTGCCTTGGCAGAGAAATACGTGTTGCGCCCTTGGAAGCCATCGCCGGCAGTCTTGGATATGACCCCGGCCCAGCAAGCTGCTGGTGGACGGGAAAGAAAAGGCATTCAGAAAAGAACAAGCAATGCCATTGGTGAAAAGTAAACGAAGATCAGGTCTCTTGGCGACCCGGAGCAAGACGTTGGCGTCTGTCGGCCGTGCTCGTGCCGGGCGCCTGGGGCCGGTTGAATACACTCCCAGACGTCTAAGGACAGCTCTGACAGTGCGGAGGGTTCCTTGGGTGCGGGAAGAAGCCAAAGGGGGTGTGGGCCCTCCCGACAATTTAGGGACGATCGATGCATACAGCCTATATCAGCCATTATCACCTCGCCAAACCTCCGTCTCAGACGATTTGGACATGACAGCCAGCCTTCAGCTTCATCCTGCATTCAGTCAGGATGAAGCCCCTGGTCCCTTTGCTGGGCTTCGTCCTCCTCGCAGCTCAACATGGCCTGGGCTTTGAGTTCACCTATGAGGCCAAACACAATGGAAAGCCGCTCCCCCAATCCATGATCAAGATGGTAAAGTCGGATATGCGGACTGGACATCCTGTTCTGAAATCTCGACCAATGGGGCCTGTCAACGACCGCAAACTCGACAAGAGGGCCAACCAAAAGAAGTACAGTGTAAGTTTCTCCCACCAACCCTCCGACGAGAATCTGTGCGCTTGCTAAGCCAGCTCAGGCCAACTGGTGTGGAGCTGTCAACCACACACCCTCCTACAAACCCATACAGGTCTTGCACACCTTTTGGAACCATCCCAACTGCAGCCCAAGGGAAGAGGATAGGTTTCCCCAGGGGCTTGCCTCCTGGGGCGGCATTGACGGCGACAGCCCTGGCACCACTGGCCTTCTCCAGGCAGGAACAGTCTGCAGGGTGAGCTCTTTTCTCCACTACGCGGTATTGGACCTGTGGCTGACTCGATGTTGCAGATCTGGGAAGACGGCACCATAACGTAGGACCATGGCCCGGAACTCGCACTCCTGTGGGCACCGCCTGACAAATGTTTGCAGAAACGAGGCTTGGTGGGAGTGGTTCCCCGAACCTCCATATCACCTCGACATTAAGACGATGCCAGGTATGCATATCCGCCCCGCCGCGGTCAACGAGAGGCTCAGAACCTGACGTGGTAGCAGTGGCACCAGATGACATCTTTGAGCTCACCATCTCCATGTCCGACAATCACACCGGCCTCGTGTAAGACATGCTGTCCCCGAGGCGATTGCGCGCTGCTGACCAGACTCCTCCATCAGGGAACTAGTCAACCTTTCTCGAGGCCACTACTTCGGAATCAAATTAACAAACGGCCCCGCGATGCTCCGAGTCGATGCCGACTTTGTCGTCGAGGTCCCGGGCTACGGTGATCGTCTCGCGGGGACTCCCCACTTTACGCCCGTCTTTTTCCAAGAGTCGTGGGCCAAGGTGTTGGACAGAGGGCTTGTGGGGATTGAGGGGGCGGTACAGTACCAGATGTCCGGCCGGTGCGAGTCGGTGGAATTTGACAACGAGACGAGTGTGTCTTGGCCGCCTGTTTGACAAGGCAGATATGACGTTTATGAACAAAAAGAGCAGCACATTTTTCACTGCCACGAACACCCGTCCCCCTGTCTTGGTTGTGTACCTCCATCAGGGGCTCAGGGGCACCCTAACCCTAACTTGTCCCCCAACCCCAACCGCGGCGCTTCCATTCCCCTCTCTCAACGCATCCCCTCATCCCTCAACTACAACCTCACCACACTCACCATGGCCGACCCCCAAACCCCCGTTCTCGTCCGCCACGAGGACGCCGAAACCTTTGCCACCAACCTCCTCATCGCCGCCGGCGTCCCCCCCGCCCCCGCCGCCATCACCGCCTCGGCCCTCGTCGAAGCCGACCTCCGCGGCGTCGAGAGCCACGGCATCAACCGCCTCCCCTCGTACCTCGCCCGCATGCGCCACGGCGTCCTCGATCCCGCTGCCTCCCCCACCCTCGTCCACCTCACCCCCGCCGTCGCCCAGGTGACCCCCCCCCCTTGACGTCAACCGTCCCTCGTCCCACGCTAACACCCCCCCCACCAGATCAACGCCCACAACACCCTCGGCTTCCCCGCCGCCGCCCTCGCCATCGACACCGCCGTCTCCCTCGCCTCCACCTCGGGCATCGGCCTCGTCTCCGTCACCGCCTCCAACCACTTCGGCATGGCCGCCTGGCTCGTCCGCCGCGCCGCCACCGCCGGCTTCCTCTCCCTCGTCTTTACCACCGCGTCGCCCGCCCTCGCGCCCTGGGGCGGCCGCGTCCCGCTCCTCGGCATCGCGCCCCTCGCGTGCGGCGCGCCGGGATCGCCGCATCCGTTCATCCTGGACATGGCGCCGTCGGTGGCGGCGAGGGGGCGGATCCACCGTGCGCTGAGGCGCGGGGAGGCGATTCCGGTGGGTTGGGCGCTGGATAAGGAGGGGCGGGAGACGGAGGATCCGGCGGCGGCGTTGGACGGGGGGGTGATGATGCCGGTTGGGGGGCCGAAGGGGGTGGGGTTGGCGGTGATGATGGAGGTGCTGGCGGGGGTGATGACGGGCGCGGGGTTTGCGGGGGGGGTGGTGGGGCCGGGGGATGTGAGTCGGCCGGCGGGGGTGGGGCATTTGGTGGTGGCGATGCGGGCGGATCTGTTTGTGAGTGCCGAGGAGTTTCGGGAGAGGATGGGGGTGCTGTGGGGGGAGGTGGTCGGGGCGGAGAGGAGGGAGGGGGTAGATAGGATTTGGTTCCCCGGGGAGAGGGAGCAGGTGTGTGAGGAGCGGAGGAGGGAGGGGGGGATTCCGTATGTGAGGGGGGAGGTGGAGGTGCTGAATGAGGAGGCGAGGAGGCTGGGGGTGGAGGGGTTGAGGGAGATGGTGGAGGGGGTGTGAGCAGTCGGGTTGAGAGTATGGGACTTGTCAGGAAGGACGGTAAGAGTTGGTTTCTGTTCTGTCTGTGGGCTTGACGCGATGGCCGCGAGCAGAATTTTAAAGCTGCAACTACTAGGGCAGCAAGCCCGGACTTGACACGCAAAATTGGACGGCGTTATCTACGGCATCCTATCAGTGAAGTTTATTGAAGGGGTGTTGAGCGTGGTAAAGACCGAAGCATCTAGACTCCCGTGTCAGGCTGCATGACCTTGTGTTACATGACGGTATTCCTGAGCTCCACATGATGGGAGCTGTTGACGCGGTGATACAAGCCTGCTGTGGTTGCCATTTGATGGGAGGGCAGATGGGAGGAGCTGTGACACCACGCTACGGCCCTGATATTGGCTGAATCTCACAACACAAGAAGGGCCCCCACGACCATGCTGCGGTCACTCTTGATGCCCAAACCCATCATCGTATCCGGCAGGCAAGGGAAAAAAGAGATTCCGGTGATGGCTAAGAGGGAGTTGAATATAGATATTTGTACTTCTAAGTCATAGACGGTTACTTTTCCCGAAAGCCAGATTTAAGATTTTGCCGATCCGAAAGAGTCATCCTGATTCTGGAACCCAGGCAGCCATGGAAGTCATGAGTCTTAGCGCAACCACCGCTGACAACATCATCATCAACCGCATCACAACCACAATAGCGCCAAATCTCGCTCTTACAAGCGTATTCTGATTCAGACATATTCAATAGTAAGCTACGAGGCACTGTGACATGGCCCAGAGGATGACGAAATACAGCTGGGAGCGAAATTGGCGTCTGTCGCTTACATTCTTCTCATGTAACATAGACGCACGGATCGCGCTGACGACTGTACAGTACCCTTGTTCTAACACATCGAGCACAGTAAACGGGCAACGAGGAGTGAACTATTTAAGTCGGCATTTTGAGCATAAATAATGTAGCTAGGTACCTAATTTCCAGCGTCCGCAATCATTCTGAACCCCTCCTCGACGCGCGCCTGCCTGCCGTGTCAACTGCCGCCACAGGTGCCGACCCACACGATGCTCACATCTCATCAGCCCCTGAGTCTACCCCTTAACTAAGGCATTCCCCCACTGGGAATAGCCTCATCTCCGAACCAAGTCACCACGGCTCGTGCCTCACATGCTGGAATGGCCACCTGTTGCTCATAAATAGGTGCCCATGCCACCCAGATAGCAGCATCACTCTTAGATCAATACATTCACTTCACTGCCAATCATGACGCCCTCGTCCAGCCGCCTCGTGTTGCCTAATTATCTTCTCTTTTGCTCGTGACATTATCACCCACGGTAACGTATTGGACAGGGTCGTACTGTCGCCTAGAGCAATCACGATTGTGGGACCAGGGCACCGACACACGCGCGACGCGGACAGATAGCACAGTTTTCGGAGGAACGCAAAGTTTCTCATTTTCTCGCCGCGAACTGAAAACCTCCGTTTGCCACCAAGCCGTCATCCCCTCTTGAAAA